AATCTCTATCAAAATGAAGTTAGAAATCACCTTCAGTGCCCTCATCTGCTCCAGGATTCCTTTGTTCTTCTGCTCAGAGCCTCCCTCAAGCCTGTCCCTCAGAACCCAGGTTTTTCCTGTTACTTAGCTTCTTAAATAATTTTGCTAATGACCCAGACATCTGCAAACCCTGAGGAAGCTTCCATCAAAACCCGGTCATGACTTTGCCTCCCGAGCTCATTTAAACAACCCGACATAATTTTTGTCTGCTCAAGGACTCTTGCTTTCTCCAGATTTTCCACCCCTTGGTGATATTGTCGTCCGGGGCAGCTTTGCACGTTGCCCACCGGGTGCAGCCACGGAGCCAAGGTACGGAGAGTTGTCCTGCACTGGTCCAGCCCCAGATGTAGCAGGTTGTGGAGCAAGCAGTGAGCTACAGCCTCAGAGGATGCTGTCGGTGCAGGCAAGAGCTGTTCTGCCATTACCCTCCTTCCCACAGCACGTCGGTGTCCTGCATTCTTCCTCCTATTCCCTTTTACTCTTCTGCAGTCACATTTATTCCTTTGCCTCTCTCAAAACAGAGGATGCTGGTCCTGGTGATGCTTCGCCTGCTGCCAACAGCACTGTTACAGGTGCAGGGAGGATAAGGAAATTATCTAGAAATAATTTTAAATAATAAACAAAGACCAAACCCAGACTGCTGCACACAAGCAAAATTTCCCAAAACGTCTTCCCAACACGGGGGCTTGTGAGCCATGTGAAAACCCAACTCACCCATTTCCAAACAATCTGTGTCCTAAATTGCTGAAAATCCCAAGCCCAAATAAAAGGCTGGTTTCAGATTAAAGAATGTGTTTTGGTTTGACATTGAAACCTGAAAAGGTTTGGTATGGTAGGCTTAAAAGTTTGTTGCATCTCAGTTCATTGACTGAGCAACCAAAACAACAAACCAGTCATGTTTTTCAGCTGTAAAAATGCACTTTTTGGCACTTAACCTCAACAGGATGAAACTGGCACTAAGACTATCGAGAATACCTGGTGCTGTGTGTTAGTACGAGCCAAAATGCCGCTGTCGGAGACAGCAGACGAGGAGATGCCAGTGGCAGCATCCCCCTCTCTGCGTGACACAGTGCCCGTGCAACGTCCTGGCTGCTGGAGGATTGCCCTCTGCCCACGGCTGCGCTCATGAGCAGTCCTAAACCCAAATTTGGCCCTGAAAAACCTAGGTCTTTCTTCAGAGGGAGCAAGCATCTCCTGTTCCCTCTGATTTTGATCAGGTTGGAGGGGGGGTGGCGGGCTCAGCATCACTCCCCCCAAAAGTCAACCCCTTCTGTTGAGGGTTTAGGACTCTTAATTTTAATCATGCAGGTGGAAAAGCTGGGTCTGCGCTGGTACCCCACAGCCAGTGCTGTCTGATCCACGAGGCTGTTTTTCTAACTTACCTTTTATCTGTGCCTCTAAAACAGCCTTTTAATCAAATAGCAGAAGCAGATCCTAAAATCCATCTCCTTAACACCTGAGATCAGAGGTCAAGTACTGAGGACTTAATATTAGTTAAGGGTCTCCCCAAACGCCAACACAGAGCTGTCAAGATGAAAATACGTGCTGCTATGCAACAACTTGCACACCCGGCCAGTAAAGGCTCGTGTTTGTTTTTTAAGATGCAACCGCGTTCCTGCTTTCCAGTCCAAGGCCAGTCACTGAGAGAGGGATTTTGGCTCAAGAGCTCCAAGGCCTGCCTGGGTGCCTCCCTGCCCCCCAGACACCAGGGAAGGATCAGGCCCACTCCTCCTGCAGGTGTAGGGTGTTTCCTTTGGAGTAGGGCTACCAAAAAAGCGTACTCATGTATGCGTCTCACTTTAATGCAAGTAAAAACAGCAAGAATGCAAAACGAGTGCACCCTTAGCATAGTCACAGCTGAGCAAAAAACCTTCCTGGGCTGGAAATTTAGCTGAAAATCATCTTTTTTGCCAGCACTGCTGTCTCCCACAGCAAAGGGACACCACAGAAGTCAAGTACTGCTTTCCTGCCAGGGCGCTGTGCTCCAGGAGGAGTCCTCCTCCAAAGGCTGCCCGCTGTGGCACACGTGCCCTGACCCAGGGAGCTGCGCCAAGCCTGGCAGGGTTTTTAGGGTGGCTCTCTGAGGGAGCTGAGCACCTGGTGGGCTGGGGACAGTGGAAGCGAAGTGGGGCCCCAGAGCCCCCCCACACCAATAAGAGAGAAGCGAGACAGGCAGGGGCAGCCTCCCTGCCTCCCACCCTGCTCTGCCCCCTCACAGGCAAAAAGGGCAGGCAGACGCCTGCGGCAGGGGGAAGCCCCTGGGGTTTTCCTTCGGGCTCCCGGGGAGTCCCTGCATGAAGGATCGGGCCCCTGGAAGGCAGAGGAGGGGCTGGTCCCTGTGCAGGCAACCCCTCATGTGCTACCATGGCCAAGGGCAAGGGTGTCAGGTAGGGTGAGGAAGTGGCCCTGGCTGCCCTCGGCCCCCCGGGGCCAGCATGAAGGCAGGCGGGCTTCCCATAAGCGGAATGGAAAGCTCTTTATTTAACCTGCACCCGCCACCTGCCCCTCAGTCCCAGCCTTGCCTCTGTCCATCATGCCCGCACGAGCATGCCAGGGCTACTTTTTTGGCAGGCTGAGCCAAATCAAATCCTTTCCAGGTAACCCTTTCCCCACCGGGTCCCGGGGGAGCATGTTGCAGAGGGGATGGCACCCACCTTGCAGCGGCATGATGCAACACACAGCCACCCCCAGGGCTGCCCTCAGCACCGCCGAGCTGTCTGCAACCCAAACAAGTCACACAAGAGCTGGCCCCTCTGGCTGGGGTCCTGTCCCCTCCCCAGTCCTCCTGTCTGGGGAGCTCCAGCCTCACCACCCACTGCCCTCGCTGTTAAGATGACACGCTACGTCAGCGAGCGATGGAAGAACCCAAGGAAAATGATGACAAACAACCGCATTAGGGGTGTGACAGAATGACCAATGATTTAATGCTTCTTGAAGTTTTTTGTTTCCTTCCACAGGGCATTGGTTTTAAAAACAAACAAAACGAGGTAAAATAAATTAATTTATGTACACTTTACATACACTGTGTCACCTGGAGCTTTGCAGCAACAGTAACCGGAAACCATTACAAAATAGAAAGTTACATGGCTGTTGCAGGTCCTTGGCAGCCTGCAACCTAGAAGGTTGTCATCCTGAGCGTGGTTGGCAAAGTGATCATGTAAACATGTTTAGAAGCATTTACGGTGGACAATGGATGGGCCAGCTTCATCATATTCCTGCTTTGTGATCCACATCTGCTGGAAGGTGGACAGGGAGGCCAGGATAGAGCCACCGATCCAGACAGAGTACTTACGCTCAGGTGGGGCAATGATCTAGAAAAAGCCAAGACAGCAGAGATCAGTAAACACGCAAGCGCTGCGGGTGCCAGGCACAGGGGTGTGCACAGCCTCACGTGCTGTCTGAAAGAGGGCAGAAGGCGGCTACTCCCATGCCTGGGTCCTTCACTCTGCAGCCTTACCTTGATCTTCATTGTGCTGGGGGCCAGGGCTGTGATCTCCTTTTGCATGCGGTCAGCAATACCTGGGTACATGGTGGTACCCCCAGACATGACATTGTTGGCGTACAGGTCCTTCCTGATGTCAATGTCACACTTCATGATGCTGTTGTAGGTGGTCTCATGGATCCCTGCGGACTCCATACCTGGGGGCAGGGAAGGGGAGAAAAGCAGGCAGAAGTTAAGTGCAAAGAGAGAGCTCCATGGGACGACTAAGGAGAGAGGGGAGAGCTGGTGGGGGAGGAGGGAGGGAAGGGGGCACACACACCAATGAAGGAAGGCTGGAAGAGGGTTTCTGGGCAGCGGAAACGTTCGTTGCCAATGGTGATGACCTGCCCGTCAGGCAGCTCATAGCTCTTTTCGAGGGAGGAGGAAGAGGCAGCAGTGGCCATCTCGTTCTCAAAGTCCAGCGCCACATAGCACAGCTTCTCCTTGATGTCACGGACAATCTCACGTTCAGCTGTGAGGGGGGAGCAAAGGCATCAGTGACTGCAAAGTAGGAACAGGGAACACTTGCATCTCCTTCACAGGGCTGCTGGGACTCCAGACCCTCAACCACACGCGAACTCCCAACAGGGAGCCCTTCAACGGGGCTTGCAATGGGGCAAGAGGCTGCAGTTTCCCTGGAGGTGCAAGGGTTGGAAGCAAGGGGGGACATTCTGAAGGAAGGAATAGTGCTTACCTGTGGTGACGAAGGAATAGCCACGCTCAGTCAGGATCTTCATCAGGTAGTCAGTGAGGTCCCGGCCAGCCAGATCCAAGCGCATGATGGCATGGGGCAGGGCATACCCCTCATAGATGGGGACATTGTGTGTCACACCATCGCCAGAGTCCAGCACGATACCTGGGAAACAAAAAGCAGCCACCTGAGACACAGCCTACAAAGGGCCCTGTCCTGGGGGGCAGAGCACTTGTCAGCTGTAGGGGACCCTGTCCTGGGCATCCTTCTTTGGGGAAGAGGGGCCAGCGGGGCACTTGCACTCACCAGTGGTACGGCCAGAGGCGTACAGGGACAGCACAGCTTGGATGGCCACGTACATGGCAGGGACGTTGAAGGTCTCAAACATGATTTGGGTCATCTTTTCACGGTTGGCTTTGGGGTTAAGGGGGGCCTCCGTGAGCAGGGTGGGGTGCTCCTCAGGGGCCACACGCAGCTCATTGTAGAAGGTGTGATGCCAGATCTTCTCCATGTCATCCCAGTTTGTGATGATGCCATGTTCAATGGGGTACTTCAGGGTCAGGATACCTCTCTTGCTCTGGGCTTCATCTCCTACGTAGGAGTCCTTCTGACCCATACCCACCATGACGCCCTGAAAGGGAGGAAAGAAGGGGGCTCAGCAACCTCTCCATGGGCAGCAGCGTGGGGTTCCCCAGCAGGCCAGGCGTGCCCACTCCATGCAGAGGGCAGCAGGGGCCCGCAGCCATCGCCACGGCAGGGCTTGAGGGGATGCTCAGAGGGGGACGGCGCCCTACCTGGTGGCGAGGGCGGCCCACAATGGAGGGGAACACGGCCCTGGGGGCATCATCCCCAGCG